GGGGGGGGCATCTTGACTGACCCCAATGCTGGCACGTACAACTGTCGGCTGGGTCATACAGAAGTGATCGAGGTCACAGATCGCACTGCGGCCAGCACACCTCCATATCTGTGTATTTAAAAATAAAATTGGAAACTGACCTTGACAGTGACTGCTCTGTGTTGGTAAGCAGCAGTTACAGAACTACACAAATCCCCACCGCCCCCCCACCCCCCATATCCACATCTGCCTAACTGGACTTACCGCGGCTTCCTGGCGAGATCGTCTACATTAGCCGAGCACTCGAGAGCAGTGACCTACAGTGGGTCGCACACCACAAACCGTGCGATTAGGCACAGCGGGCCGAAACCTCGGCAGAAAGCGAGGTAACGCGGAGACGCCTTCATCTGCGAGACAAGGGGAGAAAGACACTATGACTCGTACCCGCATCTGTGCTCGGGGGCAGCCGATTGTGAGGCCCAGCCAATCAGATTCATCAGCAAGCCACAATAACCCACCTCAGTCGTGCTATAACCCGAGCCCAACACCAGCCTGACCCCAAGGCCACTGAACCAAATCTGCTCCCAAGACACTGTTAGTGTTAATGCCGGTAAAAACTGGAAGGGGTCAAAAGGTCAGCCGGCCACCTCTCTAGCTGCATGGATCTCGTCTCCTGGTGTAACTGTGCACCCGCATCGAAAGCCAAGTATGTCTCAGCTCATATGGTGAAGTTCACTTATCAGCGCTGAAGCGCGAAGTGTTACCGTCTGTTTAAATGCTGGCTCTCCTTTGAAACTAAAAAGAAAGAAGGGGAAACTCACTCGTCTCTCATTTTACTAATCTCACCAATCGACATCACGCTCAGCTCTCGGTCAGTGGGGCAAACGGGCGCGTCATTGGCCGGGACATTACCAGCGAGAGGTCCAGGGACCATTCCACAGCATCCTCCTTTTTGCCATAAGTCCGTTGCTATGGTGATCAACAATCCACACGAGGAATATTAAAGGCACATTTCATTAGATTCATTTTCAGTATATTTAAGGGATATAAAAAGCACATCGATAACTCCATGCAGACGGATGCTTCATGCCATTATAATAGTATCAGTATAACCGCGCTTTTCATGAAGCATCGCACAAGCTGTGCTTTTGTTCGGCTCTAGTCTGCGACACCATTCATGCGGCCGGACTTGAAAAGGTCAAAGGTCACAATTCCCACGTTCCTGCTTCCAGTCTGGCACCAGAATTTCGCTCTGCTTATTTTTTCCTTGGGCATCTTGGTCCTCCACCATACAACAAAGATACTGCAGTGTTATCAATAAATACAGATTAAATACATGGGGACAGAACATTAGTCATCTTTTAATCAGTTTTAAAAAAGGTCAAAGGGGAAAAAGACAAAGTCTTGTAACTAAAGAATTTCACAGTGTGTCCAAATGAAAAAAGCAGTTTACTTGCACCAAACAAGAAACTACAATCAAAAAGAATTTCACCTACAACTGCAAATAAGCTGCACAATGAACACTATATTTTGTGATTTTCCTTATCAATGAGATTCATCTCAGGGATTTTTTTGAAGAAACAGCTCATCTTTAATAAGGTAATATCAAGCAAATAAAATATTTTACAAAAAAAATCAGGAATGAAAGGGGACAATTAACACAAAGAGCCAAGTAAAATGAATTTCCATTTAAAAATATACAATATTTACAAAATATCAGTTGAGTTAAAAATGCTTGTCTAAGGAAAAAAAAAACTTGTCAAATCAGTCTGCTTTGGGAATCTCTATATACACGTATTTACAAGCAGTCTCTGAATGCATCACAATCTGCCTCACAAACCTCACACTTTCTGATGTGGACTGAATTAAAAATAATTCTTAAAAACTAGAAAAAAAAGACTATAAAATGCTGAGAGTGTGGCACATTATCCATCGCATTTATTTTATGCTACCAGCTAGGCCACAGTCTTACCGGTTGCATGCCAAACATCTCCTATCTTCTCACAGGAACCTGATTTTCTGGTGGTGGAACGGAAGCCCAGGATTACGAGTGTTATTTCTTAAAAATGGATTTATGAAGGTGCAAAATTAGAAGGGTGGAGAGAACAAAATAACGATATCGCTAATAACCTCAGCAATAACGATGCGGAAAATGTGAATTCATCTCTTCTTCAGTCAGCTGGGAGGCCTGAAGGATGCCAGAAGGTTTTAAGGTCAGGCTTGAAGGGTTGGAGATGCAGAACGGGGCCAGCAGTGGGGCCTGCATTTGGGCCCGCAGTGAGGCCAGCAGTGGGGCTTGCAGTAAAGCCCGCAGTGAGGCCTGCAGTGGGGCCAGCAGTGGAGCCCATATTGGGGCCAACAGTGGAGCCTACAGTGGAGCCTGCAGTGAGGCCAGCAGTGAGGCCAGCATTGGAGCCAGCAGTGAGGCCAGCAGTGGGGCTTGCAGTGAAGCCCGCAGTGAGGCCTGCAGTGGGGCCAGCAGTGGAGCCCACAGTGGGGCCAGCAGTGGAGCCCACAGTGGGGCCAGCAGTGGAGCCTGCAGTGAGGCCAGCAGTGGAGCCAGCATACACTGCCTGTCCAGGACAGTTATCTGAAGCTGCTGTATTTAATGCACTTTATGTTTCCGTTTCTTGTGCTTCTTGTCCTTCCTCTTGCTGTCACATTTAACGCAGAACCACTGAACGTCCTCTGGGGGTGCTGCGAGCAAGCCGACGCAGGGCCTATGGAGGGAGGGGAGGGGGTGGGGATATAACTTACTACAGAAATTTTAATATGTAAATGCAAGCAAAAAAAAAAAAAAAAAAGCTTCAACAAGTTGCAAATCACACCTCCTGAAGACTCAACAGTGGTTTGAAACCTCACCCCAATGTTTTTTCTGTCCTTGTCTTGGGCATGGAGAACCATAAGAATGAATGTGCATTTGGGGCCTAAGATGTTCCAGAAATGGCTGATCTGGCCATGCTGAATGCAATGGTGTAGCCTACATAGGTCTGAATGCTGCTGACACCCAAGGCAGGAAAACATAGCCAACATGTAAAGGCACCCAAACACCTGAACCAATCAGGGGAGCTTCTGAAGGCAGGACATCAGGTGAACCAATGGACAAGGACGGGGACTTCATACCGAAAGCTTACAAACTGAAGACCAAGAGAAGTGGGTGCTGTACCTTTAAACTCAAGCTCATTGAAAGTTTTCATAAGAGGAGCATGAGTAATTACATACTGAGATAGAATAATTACCTAATGAATGATAAAACCTATCTATAGAAACTAGAACCGATGAGAGAACAGGAAGTGGGTGGGCAGATGCTGGACGCCTCTTACCAGTGGTACCAGTCGTCACAGTCATCGCAGCCGATCATGGGGCTGCCGTCGTCGGGCTTATTGCATCCGGGGCAGATCCAGATCTGGTTACCCCACTCGTCTCGGATCTACACACACGGACAGCACAACATTAGACCTGAGATAAGGCCTAGGAATCAGTACCGATCCATTCGGCCTCTCTCTGCATCCCCTTCACTGGTATCTTCATGGAGATCATTAATTAAAACGAAAGTGAATGCACCATTAACCGACAAGCTGTTAATGCACTTCTAAATGATCGTTGTGAAGCGGCAGAGGCAGGAGAGCTAGAAACAGCGGCGGTGTTTACCCCCAAACCTTGGGGGCCCAAGAGTCACTACACTGGGGGTGGCAGAGGGCCCCGAAGCGAAGAGTGGGGCCACAGAAACAACAAAATCGCCCATGACTGGAAACGTCAATGATATGAAATAGGCTGCAGATCACGCCGGACCAGCAGAGCCCCAAGCAGACTCGTCTGATTAAGTGACTGGACCAAGGCTTTGGGGGAGGGGGCACTGCCGGTAGACTCACCACATAGGTACTGACTGTTTCAGTCACCACGCTGCGGACGGGTGTTTTGAAAGAGCCGATCACTGGGATGGGACCAAGGGGCACCGCTGGGGCGGGGCTCACTGGAAGGGGCGGGAGAGGTGTGGCTGGCATTGGTGCGGGTGGCGGCAGTAAGGCTGGGGCAGGGGGTGGTGACCGGGGCCGAGCAGGAGGGGCGGATTTGGAAGGAGCTTTTGTAACAGTTGTCTTGGGCGTCGAGGTCTTGGGAGTTGGGGTCTTGGCTGGAGCAGTCTTGGCCACAGGGGTCTTGGCTATAGGGGTCTTGGCTTCGGAGCCCGGAACCACCTTGCTGATGACTCTATAACAGAAAGGGGAGGGGGTGCAGAAATCATCAAGCACACTCCTCACATCAAAACCAAACCAGAAGACAAACCATCCTTTCCTGTGACCCCGCCATGAGGAGGGGTGGGGTAGTGGTCTATACAATGTCTACCCCCCCACATATATCACAGGACTGTTGGGTAAAAGCCTCCACGAAGCTCAAGTTACAATCTGGGTCAGCCAGGTTAAGCGCCCCCACATTAAGGCCATTGACAGGAACGTGCTAAGCGTGGGGCCACCCAGGGTGAGCTGCCCATGGCCTGAAAAGCCAGGGGAGTCAGTGAAACAGGGAAACCAGGGGCAGAAGGGCCGCCTGGCTGAGAGCCCCTACAGCAGAGGCAGCATCAGGGGCAGGTGTAGGCGGCCTACCCAACCAGGAGCCCTAACACCAGAGGCAGCATCGGGGGCAGGGGCAGAAGGCCTGCCTGGCCGAGAGGCCTTAAAGCAGAGGCAGCATCGGGGGCAGGGGCAGAAGGCCTGCCTGGTCGAGAGGCCTTAAAGCAGAGGCAGCATCAGGGGCAGGTTTAGGCGGCCTACCCAGCCGGGAGCCCTAACACCAGAGCCAGCATTGGGGGCAGGAGCAGAAGGCCTGCCTGGTCGAGAGGCCTTAAAGCAGAGGCAGCATAGGGGACGGCAACCTCTCGGTACTCACATCTTGTCCTGGCCAGCGCCCACTCTCAGGGTCAGGCGGGGGATCACCGGGGAGGGCGGTGGCACAGGGGGCTCCGCTTTCACCTGAAGAGGGGGACACACATGTGGAGACAGTTGAGGACACGCAGCAGCCATGAAGCCAGCACATGGTGGGAGGGGGGCACCTTATCATGCTGGGCGCTACCATGCACGGGATACTTTACCGCACGGCGCCCGCCGGTAACTCAACACCCGGGGCTGTTTAAAAACAGCCTCTGTCCGGCACCTATTGAGCGTGACCAGACGGCGAGGAAGAGAAAACAGGGCGTGGACAATGATCTGCGGAGGCCTTCTCACTGGGGTACATTACAGGATTAGGGTTAGGGTTGCGCCTGCAACCATGGGTCTCATATCACTAATGCCAACCAGCATTCCCAAAGGCCATGCTAATGCTAATCTGCATTTTAAAACAGCTGTGTTACGGCTAACCTGAGTCCTCAGCGGTTGAGTTGAGTCTAGCCTCTCAGTGGTCTTGCCAACGCCAACGTGTATTTTTGCTGGCCAAGCTAATGCCAATCTGGTTTTTCTGTAGCTGGACTATCGCTAGAGGGCATTGTGGATGGTCTAGCTACTGCTAATATGCTTCTGATGAGGCGTCACACTGTTGTACAGGAACCCATGACCTCGGCGCTGTTGGGAACCCGTCACTGCTGAGTCCCGGTCAAAGGCCGACGTCAAACGGCAACTCCGACCGATCAACACGGAATCTATTCCTTGTTGCCAATTTTAAAAAAAAATCCACCAGGGAAAACGGGGATATAGAAGCACAGGCAGTGCATTAGCCAGAGCTCTAGTCTACATGAAAAAAGGAGCAGAGGGAGGAGAAGGGGGAGGAGAAAAAGACCCAGACACGAGTGGGGGGGGGGTGCCACATGATCTCCAGCAACCTGTAAGCAAACTGCACGCTACTTCTGAAAGCGCCACAGTGTCCTGTCCAGACGGGGTGGCCACAATCACAGGCCGGATCCCTCAACACCTGCGGTGCAAATAAGACCCTGTCCCAGCCAGATAAGCGCTGCAGGTGCCGCACTGCACACTTATGCTAATCGTGCATTAAGATGCACAGCTTGACCGTCCACAACCCCTTATTTCCCATTTAACCCGCACCGCGTGTAGGTTCAGAACGGAAATCAGACATGATAGGCATGCTTCACATCAGCCGCCGCTATTAATGTCACACATTCAAGCGGATATCATCCAATATGGCCTCCCACCCGGCCTGAGGTATGAAAGTAGCATCAATTAAAAGGGATCCAATTCAGCAGGGATGGCGAGGAAGGACCCGGAAGCCCAGTGGGGCCGTGTTCCTGCTGCCAGCAGGCATTTCGCATTTGTTATTCTCGAAGATTCCACAGGAAAGAAGCTAAAGCTCCCTGGCAATAAAACAATTAAGATCCAGAGATGAAGCACAAAATTAGTGATTTCTCTACTGAAACATGACAAAAGAGTCCTGCAAACAGCCATTGTTTCACATAAGAAAATTACACTGCTGTCCTCAGTTGAATATTTCATAGTCTGACCAACAAGGAGACCAGTTTTGCATTTTTGTAACTAAATACCAAAATGTTATATTCATTATTTTTGACAACTCTCTCTCCCAAAAATCAAATTTCACATTTCCACATGCACGCTAATGGACTACCCTTCATTCAAGACTAGCATTCCAGGGTGTTGAACCAGTGGAACGGGGTGACATCTACAGATAGTAGCTTCCATTGTACGCCAACTGGAAATACATTGTCAGAAGGATTTGTCCACTTTTATGTAAAAGAAAAACTCCTTTCACCTGAACCAATACGAGCAGCCTTGTAAGCCCCTTACTGCAGCATGTTGCATTTTTCTGCTAATCTCACAGGATTTAGCTCCTCCACCGCGTACCTCGAGGCATGTACCGATAAAGCACAAACTCTCCAGCTCCTCTTTTGCCCCCCTCCCCCCCCGCACAGGACACTGGGGAAGGAGGCCCAGGGAAAAAAAATAAGGGAATCGGGAGATTTCGGTACCGGAGAAAATCACTTTGGGAACTCGGAGCAACGTTAAAAACGGCTGTGAGACTTTCAGAAGTAGCCTGTGTTAATCAGCTCAAAACTATCCTAAGCACCCTCCGAACATCACAGCTACATTCTGCCTTCCGACAAAATGCGCGGAATAGGCCAAAGGAGAGATAACGGATTTTTCTTAAAAAATGTTACGGAAAAAGCTCCTGCAGGATAAAAAGCAGAAGCGAATTCTCAGTCTGCGTCACGTAACCATCTGTAGCTTTATTATTGTTATTTCTAAAAATATTTCGTTACTTAGCAGAACAGTACTTCTGAGGCAACTTGACAAACCTACAAGATTTTACAAATTCACTTTTTTTTTTAAACTATGAGAGGAATTTTGAGAGGAAATACAGATTAAGTGACTGGCTCAAAAACAGAGCATAGTCACCACTTAACCCTAAAATGTCATGAGGGGCTGGCCTGCTTCTTTTATCCCTGCTGGTTTAATGTACATGTGATTTCTTTTTTCAGAGATCCTAATCAGACTAGATAATAAAATTAATAACGGTCTATAGAATGCACTTCATTGAATCTGCGACTTACATTTTATAAGGCCAACGCACCAACTCAGAAGCATTACTAATATATTCTTAAAGACAAAACTAATTACTCTTAAAAATGCAAATACCTTCTCCAGCTTGTGTCTCTCCTTCTCTTTTTCCTTCTCCTTTTCTCTTTTTTCTTTCTCTTTCTTCTTCTCCTCTTTTTCCCTCTCCTTTTCTCTCGCCCTCTCCTTCTCCTTCTCCCGGTCCTTTTCTTTGTCCTTGTCTTTCTTTTTCTTCTTCTCTTTCTTGTCTTTCTTCTTCTCCTTGTCCTTGTCCTGGGGGGCTTTGTCGGGGAGGATGGGGGGCAGCGGCGGCAGCATGGGGGGCAGCTTCAGGCAGGCTGCGGGGCTGAACAGCGGCAGGGGCGCCTCCTTCAGGCCGAGGAGGAGTGAGGCCGTAGACTTCTGCCGGTCCTCCTTGCTTTTGTCTTTGCTCTTGTCTCTCTTCTCTTTGTCCTTCCTACTCTTCTCTTTATCTTTCTTCTTGTCTTTGTGCTTGTCCTTCTCCTTCTTGGAGCCACCACCATCTTTAGATTTCATCTTGGGTACATCTGACTCTGAAATGTCTCGGGGCTTGAGAAGGTCCCTCTGCTCGTCCTCCTTGGAGGAGAGGTCTTTCCAGGGCTGCCTGGCTTCTTTAGAAAGTTCTCGTTCCTTGTCCTTGTTCTTCTCTCTGCTCTTCTCTTTGCTCTTGCCCTTGTCTCGCTCCTTCTCCCTCTGTTTCTCTTTCTCCCGCTTTTTAATCTTGCTCTTGAGTTCCTTCTTCAGCTTCTTCTTGATATCTGTGGACACCACCAGTTTGTTCTTCTCCTCATACATCTTCAGCAGGGGTTCCGGAGTTGGTGGAGAAGCTGAAGGCGATGAAATATACGCTGGATTTGGGGGGGTGCCGGAAGGACATCCCTGGTTTACTTTCCGTAAGACCTCATTGATGGAATCGTCCATCGTCCATGAGTTACCAGTCAATGTTGCACCAACATTTTGAGGGAGCGGCGTGGATGCGTCTTTGCCAAAGCTGTTCACACTAACTGCCAGCTTTTGTGTCATGGGCTCCGATATGGTAAGCCTCCGTGGACTCGAGAAGCCATCGCCTTCAGACTCCGAGCCCGAGGAAAAGGCGAACGGATCGGGCTTCCTCTCCGCACATGCCCTAGCAATCACGGCTGCGATAGAATCATCAATGGTGTTGTCCGGTAGCTCCAGCTTCCTGGGCGGCGGTTCGACAGGTGGCTTCTCAGATTCCAGCACCATGGATTCAATCGGTTTTAGAAGGATGTTCTCTTTCTCTACCTTCTCACTCAGTGGGAGCAAAGGTTTTATCGTTAGATCTGTCTTCCCCTGGGGAGGGATGGCTTTGATTAAGCCTTGCTTGGGACTCTTGGGGCTTTTGGTCTTCCCAGGAGACTTCTTCTTCTCTTTCTGTGAGGCTTTAGGAGAGCGGGCCGGGCTGCCGGGCAGGCCGCCGGAGCTGGCCCTCTTTGGGGACTTGACCCTCTGCCTGCCAGGTGAGCCGACTTTGGGTTTTCGACCAGGGGTGATGGGGATCTTGGGTGTGGGCAGCTGTGCTCTGGATGTGGGGATGTGGTCCGCCACTCCAGGGGATGTAGCCTGGGAGCCCGAACCGTCGTGGGGGTGGAGAGGGGGTACCCCTGCAGGGGCTGGGACCCGCTGGGGGTTGAGTGAGCTAAGCGGTTCCCGTGGTTCGGTCCCCCAGTCCGGGCTGTCTGGTGATCGGAAACCTGGGAGGCGTGGCCTCTTTGCGGCAGGAACCACGCCCATAGAGGTGGGGCTGTCAAGGCGCCTCTTGGCCAGGTAATTCTCATCATTGACGGCCTCCTCTTCATCCATGTCCTCCTCCTCTTCCTCATCCAGTGGGACCTGCATGGCTTCGGCCGACGTGCCCATGTCAGGGAGGACCTGCTCCTCTTCTTCCTCTGCAAAGGTGAAGGAGAAAGAGGATCATTGTAAAAAAAAAAAAAAAGAAAAAGAAAAAAAGAAAAAAAAAACACAGAGAGAACCTCAAAGAGGGTGAAGAGCAGGCAGATGGGAGATGGCGTGCGAGGGGCCAGAGCTGCTGAATAGAGCTTAAATTCTAAAGACAAACATCAAGTCAGCAGATCAAGGTAAGAGGAGAAAAAATGCAAAAAAACAAAACAAAAAAACACGCAAATCCAGTACCCCCCAGGAGATAATTATAATTTACAGAAGGACATTATATAACAAAAAGCAAAATACACTAAAATAACGAGAACACTACTGCTACTCAAAACCTCAAATTTAAAAAATTCACAAAAAGAACTTATGAAAATATAATTTCAGACTCTAGACCATATTCAAACACGTACTTCACACACATTGTATCACACCATTCATTAATTACAATTAAGTTCTTGTTTGATGAGCTACACGAAGATATGGTTTGTTCGATATAGTTTATAGAACTCGGCATCAGAATATATGACATCAGGTACAGAAGGGTAATGGGTCCCCTCACGCAACAAGACCGTCAACAGGAAATCCCAACCGGAGCTTGCTGATGTCATTAACCCAGCCTGTGTGACATCTCAGCATGTAATTTACTGGAGAACTTCGAGTTAGGCACCTTGCGGTATGACAGCAGGTCCCCTCCTGAACGTGACCCTGCGGCCCTTGAGGTCCTGAACCACCACGCTCACCGCCACTGCAGGGGACACCGGCAGGACGACACTTTACCCAAGATCACGCTCACACCTCAGGACTGTCTTCGCGATATCAATCCTCTCTATATAAACATTCATCTTCGACGTCGGCCTTTAGGCCTCCTGTAGCCACCCCGCCCACATCCCTGATTCTTCTCCATGTTCTTCTGGCTCATTTTAGACCATAACTATCAGCATCATACCAGCACAGAAGTTAAACCCCGCTCGCATTTGCAAGGTTGACGTTACACGGCACATTACGCTGCGCAGTTACGGTGCCTAAACAAAAAGACCCACCCCGAGAAAGAGACCCCCACTCCCCCAAACTTGACCCCCCTCTCCCGCCACCCCGCCGAGGCGCCTTACGATCCTGCCACGCTGTAATCTCTCCCTGCCCTCCTACTCCTTCTCTCCACAATGGAAACATTAAAAACGCTCCTTTAAGCAAGTAGGAGTGGGAGTGACATGCACCATTATAAATAGTGTAATCTATATGGTAATACCGCTGTATTCTATAACCACAGAATAGTCCGGAGATAGCATTGTGACTTCGGGGCTCCGTGACTGCCCCGTGTAGTAATTGTTATCAGAGGTTATTTGCTTTGACCGATCGGCCAAGCCGCATGATTGGCTCCCTCCCGTTATTTATGATATAAATTATGATAACCGTGATGTCTCTTCTCCAGTCCGCCGCAGCCTCTCCAGCCCAGATACAATAAATTGCCGTCGTTAATCATGGCTCTTTGTTCCACTATGATTACCGCCGGCCGTAATAAGGATTTTATTCGGCAGGAACACGGGCCCGGCCGCCGTCATCCCGCAAAATGAGCCTGTCACTGTTTCTGCGCCCTGACATTTAATTTGTAAAGTGGCCACAGGTAAACAAAGAAATTTACTGCTCTTTCCCCACGGCACGTTTCTGGCAGTTCTGAGCGGCGAGGCCGACGTCAATGTCAGTTACGGAGCACGATGCGGCCATGGACAAAAGCCTGGGAATACAGTCACCGCCCCCCCAACAAAAAAGATGACAGAAAGGATCACAGGGGGCTCAAAAAGTGTCCATTCACGTGCGCCGCGTCCTTATGAAAACACGGCTTTTATTTACGCCCGCCACTGATTTCCCACTTATAAGTAATCCCTCTTTTTTTAATTCCCCCCCCCCAAGTCCTGGGCAGGATTCGCACACGCGGCCTTCTAATTGACCCAATCGCTGAGAAATACAGCAGGAGGAGGAACTAAACAGAAAAATTACTGGGATATAAAAGAACAAGCGTCTCACGTCGCTGCGTAATCGTAAGCGCTGGTTGACCATGGACTCCGCCGCGCCGAGGGAAGCAGCGGGACATCGGCGTTTAACCGGGACCCAGGCGGTGACCAGATGCGGTGACCACACGCGGTGACCGCTCGGCACCATTAAAGCGGCTTCCCCGATTCCCTTCTTCCTGAACATTAAAACAAACGGGCTGGAGGGGGGACGGAGCCATTAACGTCGGGACCGATCGGTGAGGGCCAATCGCAGGGCAGATAAGGCCGTCTTGCAGGAAATTATATAATGGCTACAATGCCAAAAGTGGGAGGAGGGACAGAGGCAACAGAAACACCTGCCAAAAACTTCGGGGACAAAAGACAAAACAGAGACCTGGAAGCTTACAAGGTTATTCTGCTGATGCATTAACGCGGTTTCTTAGCGTCAACAGCAAAGGCTGGAGTCTTTGGATGCATTCCTACAGCCTCTCTGGATGCATGCGGTTAATAGTTTGCATTTGCAACGTTTCTGTGACCTCAAAACGAACAGACGTACTGCTGTTTAACCTCACGTGGGCTTTGGTGTCACCCAGTCATTTGAGGAGTGAGACACAGGATGAGAAAGAAAGAAAGAAAAAAAAGGATTCACTTCCTTTTCCTGTCTCCAGAAGGCCTGCAGACAGAGCCAAGGGAATGAAACACACATTAGACGATAGCTACCTCCAGCTAGGTCAGAAAATAGAAGTCACATAAGAATTTTGGAGAGAACCCTGCCCACACATAAACACTCATCCCTGCAGAACGCGCTCCCCCCCCACCACCCCCAACTCGGTCAGGACCAGACCCACTTCTGTGACCTTCAGTTCAGCCATTTAGGAAAAACTTCACACAAACAGAGAGAAGCGGTCCAGAGCGGTAGGGCGCCAACTTCCAGAACCTTCAGGCTAAAAGTTAGTCAAGAAAAAAGCTCAGAGTAATTGCAGTGCAGTAGGAGTTCCCTGATTAATTGCGTGAGATAAGCCCCCCCCCCCCCCCCGTACAGGAAGGCCCGCAGACCCCACCCCCCCCCCCCCCCCCCCCCCCCGGGCCTGGGCTGCAGGCACCAACTGCCCAGGCCTAATAATCGTTGCTGTGTGCATCAGTCTGGGTGGAGCCAGGGAGGGAAATAAGACCCATTCCATTACTGCGGTAAGCAGTGGAGAACCACTTACAGTCTATTAATGATGATAAGCGGCCTAATTATTTAATGACCACAGGTCCTTCATTTAAAGACATGTATGGTGCCCTGTTCCAATGACAACCACAACCAAAAACATTTCGGGGGGGGGGGGGGGTCATATGACAGGGCTGCATTGCATCTGGCCAGCGCTCACGGACACTGACCCTCGGAGACCTTTCCCATCGGCGTGACGTCTAGCGACAGAAGCTGCAATCACACGGTACTGCAGATATTAAAAGCCTGAAATTCTCTGTCCAACACGCTCAGATATTACGCGAAGATTAAAAACATTTTTGGAAGTTTACCTTAAATTGTACGCATGAATAAAAAAAATTCACTCAACGGCTAATAATATGCAAAAGCTACATCATCTTTGTGTTCTAGAACCACAAGAAACAGCAAAGAACTTGAAAGCGAGCGAGCAAATGTCTGCTTTCTGAGGAAACGGAAAAAGGCGGCGAGTGTGAAAGCCTGTGGAAGCTTCACGGCGTTTGTGAGCAACAGCGCCACCTTCCTCTGCTCCTGGTGCTTTGCAGGTTGCTGTGTGGTGCTCGACCTAGAGGCCCTGTGACGGCGGGGCAGCCAGAGCCTGCCGTACGGTGATACAGTGACCGATGCCCTTTAGCATTAGCATACAACTACTGTATGAACTTCAAAATGACACTAAAATTGACATTAAAATCACAATTAGTTATGTATTAATTTATATCATCATGAAAGCAAAGTGCATGTTGAAACTTGGGGGCTGGGCTGGGGGGGGGGCGGCACACAGCCCCCTCCGCGCCAGCCTGGCTCCTGCCACGCAGGGCCTGCCGTGGCCCCCGGCTCGTCCCCCGACGCATAGCATGTGCCTGCCCCCGCCTGCATTTTTTTCGCCTTTAAATAGAGATGGGGGCCGTGATTACGATCTGAGCTGCAAAAACCGCAGAATCCAGTCCCCCCCAAAACAAAGTGTTTTTTGGCCTGTTTTCCTGCCCCTGGCGCCACCGGCAGAACAGCAAACAATAAACACTGGCTGATGACGGAGCTCCTTTAAATGCTCGTTTTGTTTATGTTTTTTTCCCCGACTCCCCCCTGGCGGGCGGTGAAAAGGCCACATCGCGGGGACGTTATTCAGAGCCGCACGGCGGCAGGTGACATGCTGGGGGGGACGGCCCACATGGGCCCTGCACTTGCCGTCAACCGTGGAGCCATGAATGCGGCCCCCGCCCCGCCCCTCCCCCCAGACTGCGGCTACGCACCGGACCTGTTGCTCAATCCTAGCAGGGCCTGCAAGCCGGATTCTTTCGAGTTTAAATGTGACACTCGTGGTACAGTTTAAATTTCTCAAATGACCACAACAATGAAAAAATGGACAAGAATAACTAAGGGCACCTCCCACAGTTTCTGATCGATACACGGCCCCCACCCTAGCCCCTTCCCCACCCCCACCCCCCGCCTGTAACCACATTAACTTCACTTCAAAGCATCGAACAAATTGCGTCTTTCAGCAATTACACTTTAAAGAGGAACCACTCGAGCGCCGTCACTGAACCTTGTAAAGTATGCTGCTCCGGGGGGGGGCTGGCTCAGAGAGTCAGCGACCCCGAGATGGCGTGGCCTCCCCCGCGCCGCGTCCGGGTTCGAACAGGAGGTCGGCCCGAGTTTCAGATGGAACAAATCCCCAAAGCCTTGTGCCTTGCTGGCCGTTTCAGACACACACAGAGAAAAGAAAATCATTAACTGGCTGAAGCCATTTAACTAAACGGCAATTGTTACCAGGTTCCCATTACTACTAATGCCTAAACCACCCCCCCCCCCCGCAAAAAAAGCCGTTTCATCGACACTTCAAATAGACGAGCGCAGGCCCACAAACGATGGTTGGTTCAGTGGAAATAAGAAGCAACTCTCTTACATGATTAGTCACGTTCATTTTTATCTAAGAACATTTGTGCCCTATATTAAAAAAAAAAAAACAAACAAACGGAAAAACAGAAAACAGCAACGAAAAGGTGGAGATAAGGCACCAGGGGATGCAGGATGGAAATTCTGCAGTAAAGGAAATGGCTCCATGTATGGGGTTCGAGGAGGAGGAAACGGAGATAGAAGCATGTGGGGTTCCCTCGGATGCCCGCCATCGTTCCAGGGGCCTTGGGAACGCAGCAAGGTCACCGCAAGCCAGACAGCTTATCGCCACGGTTACAAACGACTGACGCCTTTCATCCACCAAACCGGGCAAACCTGCGGCAGAAGATTCTGTGAACATCCAGGTGAACTGGAAGTGCTTCTGATCGGGCAGAACGACACAAGGCTGCAGGGACAGATGCTGATCGAAGGAACAGGGGGCCTCAAACAGCATTACTGTAAACAGGAGGCGGATAATCATGCATAAAACATGAACTGAACAACCAAAAGGAGTATAGAAAAAATTACATTAAAATAACTCAATTAACACTTATATGCAATAACCTGCAAGACGTTAATTTACGTGCTGAAATGATCTTTCAAGATGGTTCCATACACCAGTACCAGGAACACAAAGGGCAACGTTTTAGCTTATTAAACCGAAACTAACATGACTGATCAATGAATCAAGGTTTATGAATCAAATTTTCCTTGAGTAAAAAAAAAAAAACCTGTAAGATTATTTTTCATAACTGCTTTTGGGGTGAGTGAGTAACACTGCATGCCGGATTCCGCGTAAACATGCTGCTGCATCACTGTCTCTCTGTGTCAGGGGGTCCCGGGCGGCA